GACATTTTGACGCTGAACACCCTACCACCCACGGTTCACGAGCGGACAAAGTAGCGAATCACAGAACACGGAAATCAATTTTTCATTCTCCCGAATCACGAAAATAAGCATAGTAAGGTACCTTTATTAATAACCTGCTCTAGAAAGTGTGTTTGAAGAAAGCAAAATCGTGAAAGGCTAATAAAGGCTCCTGGATACAAATCGCATAACTAAATCACTTTCGACAGACCACTCTAACCATTCGGAGGACTCGTGTCTCAAAATCACGAAGAATAGAGTGGTGAAATCGCGAATACCGGTTAGTAATTCAAGTTCTTCACGGGTCACGCAAAACCTTGAGGTCACGGATCACGAAGAATAAAGTTTCACGAAAAATGACATCAGCTAATCGCGTATCACGAGAACTGATAACCCTGTGCGACCCTGTAGTACTGCAATATACAGTTATTCATATTTAGAAAAAAAAAAAAGCCTCTGCTATAGTAGGACACTTTGCTTTACTTATAGGGGATTGACCAGTTGACCTGCTTAAAAAAAAATAAATAAATAAATAAATAAGTAAACTAATAAGGCCCACATGGAAATAAATCACACAAAACGGAACAAATAACAAAAAATTGGAAGTTAGTCCTCGTAATTACCCAAGCTTTAGCCTTCTCTCTCTCCCCTCTCACCCGTATCCAGTGTTTTTAAATTGACTACAACTCCTCTGCACTTCAAGAATTCGCGCAGCAAAAGTAAGAAAAGTAGAATATTTAATGGATGATTACGGAAAGTTTCTCTCGCTCACTGCTTTCCAAACACGACCTGACAGCCCGGCCTATAACCTTTCTTGGAATCATTTCTTCAATGAAACTTTTTCAAAAAAAATATACCCCATAATACCGGAACCTCGATTAAACATGAAAGTTTCTTGTCAAAATTTTTAAACAGCAAAAAAACTAGTAGACTAGTATATAAGAAACTTATATCAGGAAAAAGTGAATCACCCAACCAAAGTCAACAAATGTGGCAGGAAGACATCACTCTCACAACAAAACAAGAACTCAACTGGAAAGAGGTTTATCAAATGGCTTGTTAATGTACAAAGAGCACAAAACTTACAACTTTCAATTTTAAATTTCTTCATAGAAGAACACCAACAAACAACTTCTTGAAAAAAAAAAATTGGTCTCGTCGATAGCGAGAAATGCACTTTCTGCGAAAGAGAAACAGAGAAACTGGCACATCTATTTTGCGCTTGCCCAAAAACTCGATATTTTTTGACCAATTTTAAAGTATGGCTACAGTCTTGCCAAGTCATTGCCAAAGAGACACCCTTAGAGCCTGATGAGGCACTGGGTCTAAGGCCGGATAGCTCTAAACATAAACTCCGAATTAACTTCTGCTGTTTAAATGCTAAACATTACATTTGGCTATGTAGACAGAAAAAATGGTCTCCAAAACTAAACGATTTCTTACTGTATTTAAAACATATCTATGAAATGGAAAAAATACAACTACAATCGCTTTAAAAAAGTGGGAGCCTCTGTTGCCTCTTTTGTAATCTCTTGACAGCTTGATCCTAGTCCCCTGAAAACCAAAATAAAAATGAAGGGAAAAAAACAAGGTGTATATATACCATGTATATTTTTTTGAATTCGCAATTCCGAATTTAAATTACTGACAGGAGGAAACTGGTACGATTTTGCTATGCTAGAATTGTAAGTAGCGCAAGTAATCTAATTATGCTGTATCGCAAGCAGTGTCAGTATCAGTATTGTTAATAGCGTGAGTATGAGTATTGTATTGTAAGTAATATAAGTAGTGTAAGTGTTAGTATCGTAAATGGCGTAAGCAATAAGTAGTGTAAGAAGTGTAAGTAACTACATTAATATTGTATTGTAAGCAGTGTAAGTAGCAATTAATTAAAAAAAAAAAACGCTCGCAGCATTTCTTTCTTCTGAAGAAGAGGAAATTGCTCAGTGCAACTAACCAAACATGGAACAAACACGATCGAATTCAGAAAGTATTATTTTCTTTTTGCCGACGTCCGCCATCGCTATCCTTCTGTTTTCGTACTTGTCTTACATGCGCAGTAGTGATTATCTAGGAAACTAGCTAAGAATACGAGCATGCGCAGGCAATTGTCCCTGGACCAGTCTCTCCGTAGCGTTGTGTGACAGAAAGAGGGCAAGAATTGGACTAAGATAGATCTTATTGCGATCTTTCATTCAAAAATATTACACGGACAAACATTGATTCTAAGCAAAGTCATAAACGGAAAACGTTTCCTCACATTCATTACCTTTAACTGGTAAATGCCAAGGAAATATAACGAGAAGTAAACTCGCACTAAAAAGTAAAGTGGCAAAATGCCGCGTTGTACGATTGTCAGAGGTTTGTGTTTGTAATCGACGAGCTGCTCTTAGTTTTCTCCTGTCTAGATTGTTGAATTTAAGCTGAAATATGTCGTCGAAGAAACGCAGAAGTTTGTGGCCAGTTGCAGGTGTGAAGAAAGCACCACGGCAGAAAAAGCCAGAGGCAAAAAAGGTTTCAAAAACATTCGATCACAATTGGGTTGATCCGTTAGCTTGCTAACGACAAAGATTCCTGCTTCGAGCAGGAGAGGTTGCTCGTACCGGACGAGGAAGACGTTTGATATTCTCTAAGCATTACTAGGGGAATGTCACTCGGATATTCCCCAGGTTTAGCTGGGGCATATTAAGCCACGTGACGAGTTTAGACCAATCGCGCGCAAGGAAAAGCATTTGACGGATTAAAAACTTTCGTAATCTACAATTCTTAAGCTTTCAGAAAGTATATGCTTCATTGGGGTCTGCTCAAACGTCCGACCGTAAAGCGGTGCCAAAGAATGATGGTCAGTTGGTGTATACTGATACCTTAAGGACGTTCGCGCTAATTGTTTCTGCGCATCCTTACCGCGCACGTAAATTCACACGCCACGTCATCCATCGAGCGCGCACTGCGGTAATAAAACGAGCAATAATAGGGCAGATGGCCATTGCTTTTGCTTTGCCTGGATTTGACGATCTTGGACGTTCGGAGACTGCTTTTTAGCTTTTGATGAATCATTTTCTCTAGTACGATTTTCTACGATCAGCGAAAAGATGAAGAAAATCTATCTATTAGAAGTTTGAATTTTTTGCAAAATGCACTATCGAGTTCCGATCTTTTTAGCTCTTCGTTTAGCTGTGCGGCGGTTTCCTCCCTCTTCCAGGGTTAAGTCCTGCATAAAAGATGGCAGCACTAGGAATTATTTACGCAATAAACCAGCTTCTACAAAATATGACTATGATCCTTTCCCTCCGTTGACTCACCTTCGATATTTCTATCTATAAACCTCTGTAGACCATGCTGAATTACGTGGGCCAATTTTTCAGAATCAGGGTGGTTTTCCACACGCTTTATTGTCTCTGAAATGAAGTCGGTGACCCCCATTTTTTTTTTTTCATTTCTGACACAAATAACTCATTATCTGACTGCAGTAGTAATTTAAAAAAGAAAAATCTATCGCCTGGAAAATTTTCGCTCGAACGTCCTTAAATGTGTCCATTGAAACTGTCTGGAATTGGATGAGTTAAATAGCGTGGTTGGTTTAGTTCAAGTAGTATATAGGGAGTCACACAAATACCATTTCGCAGAGGAAGGAGCGTTTAGCCGTTTTACAACCCCCAGCTTTAAGTCCGAACCTCACAAGCTCGGTTCAGACAGACTTAAAGCTGGAGGTTGTAAAACGGCTAAACGCTCCTTCCTCTGCGAAATAGTATTTGTGTGACTCCCTATATACTACTTACAACAACGGGGAGGGAGGGAGAGCCACCGATTAGAAACAAGCGAGCCCGCTGTTATACCGCCCGAGCAGCGATGCCTCGAGCAACAAACAAGTGCGCGTGGCTGATGCGGGGCCGGAAAGAGAGCTGCGGAAAGCGGTCTGGAGATTATTGCGGGCAGCACAACTACCAGCTAAAGAAAGGGATGAAAACACCAGAGCCGTGTAGAGACTGCGGAGTCGGGCTTCTGTGCGATTACCGTCTATGCATCCCATGCGGCGGGAGCAAGCTAAAACACCGGCTTATCCGCAAGCGCAAAAAAGCAAAGAGAATTTTTGAACCTGTCTTGCTCGAGCTGAAAGAAACACAACAACAATTAGAGGAAGAAAACCTTCTGTTATAACAAGGCGCCATGGCCTCCATCAACCAAAGGTATGAAGAAAGCCTGGAAGAAGAACTTGCGAAAATAGATCCAGCGGCATTGCAGTATTTGGAGCAACTTCTTGCAGAAAACGCTCCGGCGGCGAGAAAGGTTGTCCAGAACGTGCTGGATGAATCAATTTCTCAAGAAACGCAAAAGAGTTTGCAAAACCCCTTACTTCCAAAGCCTTACCAACCATGAACCCCTCCACGCCAAAGAAAGTCGAGAAAAGCGCAAGCCCTTCTGAGAGAGTACGACCCCTTCCCTGCGCGGAAAACCCGAACAGTGACAGACTACCAGAAGGAGATTCTGGACCTGTTCGAGGATGCGACGTATGAGGGGGAGGAGAGTAAAGGTCGGCGTTTCATTCAATGGCGCTTCATCAAAGGTCTGGAGAGAAATCTCGAACCAAAATTTATGGAGAGGATACGTGAAAAAGTAAGCACGTCGTTTTATCTGAGACATGTTTTCTCGTATCAGTTGCGCAACATTGAGGATGGAGCGGTGATTGTGTAATACTCGAACCCCAAGGGCTCAACTTGGTTCAACAAAC